GGGGGCGAGCGGGCGGGGGCCGACCCCGAACACCGCCGAAGCCGTGCCCTTTCACCACTTGATTTTTTTTTTTCTTTTTAATTTTAATGAGCCAAAGTCATTATTAGCGGACCAGAGATTTGTTTACTAGGGAGCTTTAAGCAGACATGTGAGTTAGGGCCACGGAGAGGTAGGCTCTGCCTCGTGGATCCCGCGGTGTGCAAGAACGCACGTTAATGGCGAGAAGCGGGGGGCCTGGACAAATATGCAGATGTATGTAAATAAAGGGTGCCTGGCTGTGTGCAAAGCCTGCTCTGCCCAGCCTGCTTCACAGGAGGAATTGCGCTCTGCATCCCTCCGCAGCCACGCTGTTTGGACGCGGATCTTTCGCTTGCACACGCAGGGGAGATAAACCCAGGGCAGGGAAGATGGAAGCGGTTAGTTTAGTCAAAGTAAACTTTCTAATGAGAAGAAGAGATGATTGCAAGGGTGAGAGTGGGGATACGGTTCTGGCCTTTACGTAATATTTTTGAATATTTTATCAGAATTGCATAAGTTCAATGTAATGGCTTTAAGAAGACTTAGGGAAAAAAACCTTTCATCTTGCAAGTCTGTTGAATTATCTTTCTTGAAGCACATTATGATGAATTTTAAAACCCCACTACAGATCTCATTAGAATGAAATATACTTGGTATTTTCTGGTGCAAAATTTAAGGTGGCTGATTCTCATTTGAAAATCTAATTATCTCTTTCCAATATTACAGATGTGAATATGAGTGACACTTTCATTAAAAGATAATTAACTAAAACTAGGAATAGACATACTTTTAAATACCCCCTGCTGCATGCATATATATACATATATATATATATATATATGTATATATATAGCCATTGCTACTCAGATAGCATCTTGATACACTGCTACACCATAGGTCACAAGGAGGCACCACCTATGCAATATTTCAAAAATAGGAATTCTACAGAGAAGGTGAGAGGAACAAATCCACAAAGCTAAAAAACAGGAAATACTTGCAATGTCCAGCTTCCTGGACAGGTGAGGCTTCAGCTGCTTTTGAGTTGACAGGCCTTTGAAGTTCTGGTTCGCCAGTATCTGCTTTCAAAACCTTCTCTTAGGCCTTAAGCACCAAATCTACCAAACACCACCAGATAGGTTTATCACACAAGCACTAGGTACAACAGAGGCTGCAAACCTGCACCCTTCTGGCCTGAAACCTTGCATTATCAGGGAACCTGTGCTAACCCCTAGGACTGAGGCGAGTGGGATTAAAACCCCACGAGACACCTGGAGGGTAAAAGCAGGGTCCTGGACAGAGCAGACCCAGGCCCAGGTCAGGAAAGCCGGTTGCCTATGGCAGCTGGCTAAGGTTCCGATGCAAGTCCAGAGGCTGGCAGTAGAGGATAAGACCCAGATATGGTCTTTATTAAGAGAAAAAAGCAGAACACCACCTTAGGATCTGGATCCTGTGGATGCACCACTGCATTAGAACCAGGGCTACTAAGCCTTAGCAGAAAGCAAAGTACGGACGTCTCCAAAGACTCCATTCCATTTCAAACCTGTTGGGAAGAAATCTACTCAACCTGGACAGCTTTCTAAGATTTTTAAGTTACTTTGTTTACAGTCCCACTTTTACATAGCAGCTGCATCACCCACCATGTGTTGCACTGTCTGATTGCATCTCTCTGGGCTTCATCCATGTGCCTTCCGAAACATACATGCCCACGAGGGTAAAATTTAAATTCTCTGTAACTTGCAAGTGAAGAAGGTGTTTATGTAGCGTTACTGTTTACCAAAAAACACCCCAGAGAGCAAAAATTCTGGCTTTAAAAAACTATTTGAGGTGTGTGTATGGGGAAGGGGGTGGGGGCTCTTAAAGAGACTGAAGGGAAATGAAGGCAGGGAAACTTTCAGGTTCAAATCAGAAAAGATCAAGCCCTTTGCGGGAGAGGGCTCCATGTACAAGCTCACTGATGGAAAAACCATTTCCTGCTATTTCAGACGGGTAAATGCGTGTGATGAAGGAAACACCTGAGAACAATAAGTCTGTTTCAAGCTCAGGTGAAGAAAGGGGTCTATTTCTGGCAGGGAAGAAGAGGGAAATGATGATCATTTCGTTTTCAACTTCTCCTTTATTTCTCTTGCCTTTTTTCTCCCTGAAACATCATCAATAACATTAATGTCATTAATGTCAAAACACCAAACGTCAAATCAGGAAAACCATTTAAAAAATTTGGTGCCAATTTCTCCTCTACACCCCACCCCCTTTTCTTCTTGAAAAATACAGCTGTGTGTGTGTGCGTGTGTGGGGGGGGGTGAGATGGGGGGCAGCGGTTATTGAATTCTGAGTAAGAAAACAAAAGGAAGGAGGATCTGTGAGAGGGGCGCCCACTTTTGCAGTCCCTGCTCCTAGCAGGCATTCCCCTCCTAGCGCATGTGTGTTTTCTTTTTAATCATCCCTTTCAGGTCCTCTTTCCCCTCTTTCCTAAGAAGAGAAGCTGGGGTGAGGGTCAGGGTTAATGGGCTGAGCGGAAGGGGCAGTGAAGGGCTAGCCCCTTGTCCAGAGTTTCCTCCCGGGCTCGGCCTGGGTGCGCGCCCCCGCGGGGAGGGAGCCGGGGCCGGCGCGGGGCAGCTCCGGCTGGG